TTGAATTTGATCGTTCGATCAGTCGCCCTGAAAATAAATTGTTTACAGTAGGGGTTATCACTTATGTATGAAGATTCTTGACTTTTGCCGGATTCTCCCTAATTATAGTCAGTGGTTCATAAGCCATTGTTTGATCGTCTAATTAACAGTTGTATGAGCTGACCTTTGGATGATTATACTGAGATAAGAAACTAGTTAACAGGCAACTGACCGGATTTGAATATGAAAGGTGACAAGGTTGGCAACGAAAGTAATGAAACTCTTGTCACTTTTCGGTTTCTTGGAAACTAAGTACACACAAAATAATTTACTCCCATTTAGGTCACATATTAAAGTGAAGGCTAAGCTTAGTAGTCCTCTATTATCTTGAAGTCTTTTTCTTTGGATATCGTTAACCATGAACCACAATTTTGGCTTAGGAAAGACGCCAGGAAATGTACTCACCAGCCCTTGTAAGAAAACAAACTGTAAGGCAGGATCGGATAGTTATTCACGCTACTGTATGATCTATGAAAAACTACTTCAAACTTTCGATCCCAAGCAAACTTTTCATAAATGTTATTGAGTTTTGTTTTGTCTTTTAACATCTATTTTTCATCATCACATCACTGAGATACTTCAATTGCGATCAAAACACTCACATCAATTTGAGGTGCAGTTAATTGTCATTAATTACCACTTGAGTACGACTTAAACATATTCTTGTTTTTTAAGGCATGAAATAAAAGTGAAGGAAATGATAATCACCACCTGCAATAGAAACAAAAGCTTAACGCCGCTGCCTAATCCACAGCAACCAAACTACATCTTTCCGACTTATATTGACCCCACGAAAAAACTTTCATGCTGAAGGAGACCAGCACGGTGAGAATTAATTCGCTATAGATAGGAAAACGACTTTCTTAAGCAGATCAGTTCTTTTTGATGTTGAAACAGAAAATTTTTGTCTTCAGTTTCACGCTTTACCCCACTCTGCGAAAATCATTTCTATTGAAGACATTATTTTGAACGAACACTCGAAAAAACTAAATGGCATCGCATTTGTTAGATTTAATTCCATTTTCAGACTGTAAAGGTTAATATATTTTTGGCTATAACTTTGGGTTCTTTATCTAATCGATGATTTCAGGCACACTTTTTGTACTCAACAATGACCGGTAACCTAATACGAGAGTCGAACATCGGTTTGTCCCAGGACTAAACCGAACGGCATGAAGGACGTGTACATTGTGATAATCCCTAAACATTACTTGATTCTATGATTTGATTCGGGTCTTGTTCGAGAAAGAAGCCTGAGGGAAAACAGCTGACAAAAGATACACATTTACCCCTCAAGCCAAAAACGTTCAATACTTTATGAGCCTCTTTATCCTATAACTTTTATTTTTGTTTCGTTTCGTTTTGTCTTTTGTTTTGTTTTGTTTTTGGTTACTATGGAGCTTTCCGAAAAGACTCCCTATGTAATTAAGCGTTCTTTGTATTCATGCATTTCTTTTACCTTTCCAAGCGCCACAATAATATCTATTTACGTAATCATGAATTTTATTCACTGTATCAAGGGATCGAAGCGTTTCTTTACACCAATTTAGGGACTAGTCATCATTTTACGAAGAGAAGGGGTTAGGGGAAACATAAAAAGCGAACAACTTTCCTTCAAACTAAAAGGCGTGCTTTCTTATTTTACATAATAATTTGCATGCAAACGTTATAGCGTGCTCATTGGCTAAGGACATGTATTTATTTCATACAGAACAGAGCACAAGAAAGTAAAATTGCGGACAGATTAAGAGAAAGTAATAACGTTTTAATTCAAAGTTTGAAGAACAAACACCTAACAAAGCAAAAGAGCTGGCTGAAATTCTGAAGTCTTGGCTTCCAAAAACGGTTATGACAGAAGTATGGAGACATACGAACCGGAGGCCCTGAACAAAATTTTCGGGGAGTGCATGCAACAATTGTTACGAAAGACGAGGAAGATTATAAGCGTGATAGCTTTCGTGTACTAGGCAATACCTCACTGAGAACGAGTGGAAACACTCGATTTTTCTTGACAGAAGTTAAAAAGCTCGAAGCAACTTCTTGCGGGAGAACCTTTACTACCAGGCAACAACACAAAGGCTAACGGCTGAGCCAGTGAACCACGACATGAAATAAACACGATTGCGAGGAAAACAAGCTTGAGCCTTCATCTTGTATGGGCTACTTCTCGTTTGTTTTCGTTACAATTTTTGCTAAGGAAGTTATTTGCTATTTGAGCACTGACCAAGGGGAACCGTCGCTCGCACTTAATGCGAAGGAATAATATGATATGGCAACAGAAACGAACACATCTACCCAATCTTTATAAGATTTTGCCACAGAAAACAAAACACAAACGCAACGAAGTAAAAACTCAGCAACGGGAGTTTTCTGTTTTAATCTCGCAGGCGAGAGACCGTCTTTGTCAGTCTTTGTCGAAATCTACGTTTGACACAGTTCTCCTTCGAGAGGCTGAACCTTACTCACAACTTCCATTCATAGTCATCGCTATCGGACATTATTCTAAAATTATTCTAACGCTGACAATACAAAATGACTAGAGATGGGAGAGATTTGAAAGAACCAACAGAGAGGTTTTAAAGTTTTCTACGTCATCGCCTGTTAACTCGTTACCAGTCTACGGGACAATTTTAAGAGCAATTTTTAGTACCTGAAAAACCGGACTTTAAATTTATCTGCTATCGAAATTGGTTTTTAAATATGATAAGCTAAATAATAACGCGAAAAAAAATCGTTTCAGAGGCACTTTAAGTATTCATGCAATTTGGGATAAGTCACCTCCTCTTATAATTTTTCAAGGACTACAAACTGCACTCGCCCTACGGGATTGTGCAATTTGGTTACCCTTTTTAAAAATTTGCTCTTCCTGATTTATACCAAATTGCGATCGAAATCATATGGTGACCTACATCAAGGAGATTTTCCATCGAAACGTAGTTGCACACGGAGTGAAATATGGTGAAAAGTGAATATAAAAGTTTGCAAGCCAATGAGGAGGAGTACAAAACAATTGATGAACTTTATATGTCCCCTACTCCTCCCAAAAAATACGTTATACTTTTACGCAGACAAGAAATAATTCTACTTCCTTTACCACTTGCTGCTACTGAAATTACATTAGTTCTACCAGACAAAACTACATTTTTGTAATGTATATATAAATGTTACATATATTTGATACATTTTTGTTTAGTTGAATTAAGGTACAGTCTTTTTAATGGACTGGGGTTTCAATTACCTCAGAGAACTGACATTCTAGATTTAATTGAATATTTATCCTTCAATCACTTGGCATTTGACAGTATCAGATGTTACTTACACATTCAATTAATTGAATCAAAAGAAGTGTCTTTTTATTGCCTGCATGTCTTGTTACTGTTCCTGTTGTATTTTATCTAGCAACCATTAATGAGATAACCAAAATACGTTTTGCTTATAACGGTGTAGAAAAAGAAAACTGAAGTTATTGAAACATATTTTGATAATAGAAACTCACCATGGATTTCGTAATCAAAACGTGCATACTTGTGAAGCCATTAAAACACTTACTTCAGTATTTAAGTAAATAAGCCATGATATAAAAGGAATTGATAAAAGTAAAATGGTTTGAATGTGAAATCCAAAATCTAAACAACCAACAGTTTAAATATAGAGAACCTCATTGCCTTTTCCGAGAATTATTATAAAAATCATAGATCAAAAAAAAAAAAAGGCAATCAAATATGATTCAAATGTAGTTTTTCACAAAATTCTACGAGCCAAATCTCCCCACATTTGGAGTTCATGGTCACTTCAGTGTAATCCGCTTTATGATGTTGAATGCTTTTCTTCTATTTATCCTTTACTTACCTTCTTTTTATACCAAATGCACCATTTACGGTGTAGATGAGCTACAGCTGATTTGGTATTATGTTGCTCTATCAACACCAAAAAAAGTCAACGAATGAAAGATTCCCTTTCATGGTTATATAATCCTTTTCTTTTAAATGGCGGCAAATGGGCTCATTGCTGCTGCAATTCGGGCGACTGTGAAGTCATAGGGGCGCTAGTTCGCCTTTGAGTCTTTGCCGCCTGAGTCACGGAGCATATGATGGCTACATTTTAATTTCACCCAAATTTCATCGACAGTAATAGAAAGTGAGTGTTTACTTTGTAACAGATATCCTTTCTTTCCTGTAGATGCCTCTTTGCTGGTTGCCGTAATCGAATCAACTTGGGGAGATCGAATCTCCTTTAAGTCGAAACTGGTGCAAACTATTGCCATCAATCATCAACATGATATCGAATATCACCACCTAAATTTTTTTCGCATATCGAGACTATCAGACTCTGTTTCTCTCGCGATACTGGCTGTAGTTGGAAATGTTTATTTTATTGTCTCCAGCTTTAGAAACTGACTATTTAGTGCTACCACAAATATTTTTATGATATAGGGGTACAGCAAATGAATATAAACGGGGGAGTTCACATCACCTTGTAATCGAAAATGGTGCAAACATTGCCAATAGCATGTAGATGAATAATAGATTTACATATTGATTGAAAGTTTATCACTACTCCATGAACTAAGTGAATTGTTTTTTTCTCTTGAAAAGACATTCCTGTACCTTATAAGAACATGGTGTTCATAGTATGCAATGCCAAACCGCGAGAACGCCAACGAAGGTAATCTTAATGAATATTGACTGTGCAAAGGCCTCAAAATAATGTCGGACGTAATTAAACAAATCCGCGTTAATCTTCCAGATTCTTTATGATCTCATAAACGAGAGCCTATGGTTGATTTTGACTGTCATAACATCACTTTAATATTGATCTAGGTGGCTATTTAAGTTCACCTTTGCCGAATCAAAATATTTCCGTTTCCTCTTTTCCTTCCTTTTCCTTTGTTTATTGCTTCATGACTCACCATTACGTGCAGATATTGCCCATTAATTATTGACACTCAGACACGCCGGTAACTTTTGTCGTATTGATTGCTCTAAGGTATGAATTATTTGTGCCTCTAACTATAACATACCCGTGAAACAGTGAAGTGTGATTGTTCGCTGTTTACCAATGTGTTTATGAACGATTTGTGTTGAACTTACGCGTATGATGTTTAATTTATCAATCGATGGTTACTTGATCACCTGTCAGTTTAAATTGTGTTTAAATGCAAATGAAGACGAATAACGACAGCAACAAAAATTACCGTAAGCAAAGTTTGATTGATTAAATTCAGCTGTCGCAGAAGTTCAACTCCTGAAGACCAAACCGTCCATCTTTCAAACTGCTTTTAAAGTTTCCGGTAAGTTTGAGATTTTTAAATTATGCATACTATTGTATTCTGTCGAAATATCTACGAAGCCTTGAAACAATTTCGAATTTCAAAGTCATGGAGCTGTGTTGATGAGGCTTTCAACTTCATATTATGTGTTGCCTGGTTGAAAATTACCTCCCCCCCCTCTCTTTCTTAGTTCATAAAGTTGTTCTGAACACCTCCTTTTACTAAAGCCCCATTCAAACGATCATGACAGATGATAAAGTCAGGCAGTGAGATCGCATAATTGTAAAGAAAAATGACGCGCTCTGAGGTCAGCAATTTCGCCGACCTTGCAAGCCTACCTGGAGATGATGATAATGAACCACAAGACATTATACAAAATTTTGGTGGCTATTTTAGTCATTTATTATTTGCCATTCTGGTTTTAGCCCGTTTTTGGCAAACTAGGGCAAACTGCGGACCGAAAATCATTATTCACTGTCACCCGCTCATTCAAACCGCAAAAATTATCATCAACTATCATATCGAATTTGAACTTGCCCAAACTACATGATAGCTGATGATAGTCGATAATAGTACCTGATAGTTCGTGTTCAAACGCGCGTGATAGTTGAAAATGTCATCAACTATCATGACCGTTTGAACGGGACCTAAGAGATGAGTGGATAACTTGCATTTGCAATATTTACATCGTTTGACAATCGTGAACGACGCTCTTCTACTGACTGAATAACACGGATTTTATACTTCCGCTGTGTGTATGCGTCACAGAGTTGCTTCGGCGTCATACATTTTAACCTTTGGTGACGCCTGATTACAGCTTATAGATTCGTAATCAAAAAGAAAGGCAGAATTTATTGATTTTTCTGAGGCATTCACTTTATTCAGTTTGAGATAGTTATATGATACAGTATTACGTTATGTTCTTATATCACACAAACATCCCACCAAATTGTACCGAACCGGCATTTGTGGAAGCACAAATACTACGTTCATAAACAAAACAAAGTTCACTATTACCAGAGTATTACATATTTATCTTCTGCACCTGCATTCTCGCATTGTTCGAAGCTGACAACCTCTATAGTCAAAGCAGATGTAAGCGCAGAAATAAAGGGACGCAACGGCAAGATTATTTTGCACTAAAGCGATAAAATTTGTGTTTGGTTCCCTGCCGATTTGACAATTTCGATATCAAACTTTACCTAACTCACAAATCAAATACCCGCCGAAAAAGCTGGATCAGTCATGCTTGCAAGCATGTATTCGTAAAGTGCTTTTTCAGCCGAAGCAAGTCTATTCGAAAAGAACCAGTCAATTTCTAGCTATTATTACAAGGAATTAGCAACTCTGTGCGCGACTACAGGTGTGTGAGCTCTTTGCCCGGCGAACTTCCAGTCCCACTGCCTTGCACTAGGTCATTTCAATCATCATATAAAGCGGAGTATAATAACAACAATGATAAAAATAAGATTGTTAATACTAATAAAATAATTATAATATTAGAATTATCTACAAGGAGACTGAAAGACAAGACGTGAGCTTGATTTCCTCCGCCCTGCCGAGTTTAAAAACATGGCATGTAATCTAGGCCAGAAAAGTGCCGCTTGCGTGAATTCAATTTTTTCTCATTTTCCCACGCAATGCCAATATAAAAATTAAACACATATATATCACGGATGTGACCAATGCTTTTCCCGCGCGCTGATTAACCGCCTCGGAAAGAAATTAATAAGTACTTTTCACTCCCAAGCGGTTGAAGAGACAAATCGCGTTTAATTTCCGAAAAGTGAAAAAAAAACCCTTTTTTTCGTTTTCTGCGTGATGTTTACTAAAACAATTATTCACTTAAGTGCCGATAAGAGTGGTGAATATTTACCTAGCCGCTTTTGCTTCGCTCTCGGAAAACTGTTCGTATCTTGGACTAGATAATATCTGCGGACAAATATCCGTACATATTTTTGCGCCAAATAGAGGCTGTTGTTTATCTCTTCACCATCAATTCGGTAAATATATATATATATATATATATATATATACCCGTTTTCAAAAACGTTGCAGCTTTGAAAGGTATATGTATTTAAAATATATATTTTTAAATTTTCAACGTTTATGCAAACGGTGTATATATGTATATATACATACATACAAATATATATCGCGCTCTTCTCCTACTTATCGAGCACTATACTACGGAAAAATCGAAACACATACTTCTTACATTTATATATATGAGTCTATAAACACACTTTGCTATACCTGAAGAGCCGCAACAGCGGTGAAACGCGTAGCGCAAAAGCGAAGTTAAAGTTAAAAGAAGATTTTCGTTTTTCATAGGTTTTATGTATGTATAATAACATCTTTTACTTGAGCTGTTGTACGACGAGTGTGCTTTAAAGAGAGAACTCAGCAAGCACATCTGGACCCTCAAAGGCAACAACATCGAGCACTTTATTTCCTGGCGCATTCTCTCATCACACTCGCCGTACAACAGCTCAAGTAAAAGATATAATCTCTGCATCAAAGAAAAATTCCAAATCATCTGCCGACCCGAACTATCAACACTAAACAAACGTAATGAACTCGTGTCTTCCCGCTGCCACAGAAACAAAGCCCTCCAACGCAACAACTAAACTGTTAAATTTCGCGCTGCATAAATTAGATTATATCGTATATAAGCGATCGTAAAGATTATTCTCATTAAATCCCCTGATGAGTGGGCAACCACGAAACAGGTCTGTGGGGATGAACTGGTAGTTTATTTATCTTTTTCCTCCCACAATATTTACATCGCTCTACTCCTATGTATTGAGCACTGTTTTACGTAAGTCAAAGTTTACACTTTTTCATTTTCTTTTTCAACCTCTGCCTGCAATTTTGCTCTATCAAGAGCTGTACGTCGTATTTGAAAAATATCCCTGAAAAATTTGAGACATGTTTTCCACTTAACACCTAGTGGTTCGCTTTCAGATTTCTGAAGGGACTCAATCCACATCACTCCTTTTTTTTTTGTTACGTTAAGTTTAAGTCTTGAAGCTTTTTTAAAACGTCCAAGTAACGCAAACAAGGCTCATGCAGAATCCAAATCTGATGTGACAGCAGTTGTGTCGTTAGCAAACTGCAAAAATTTCGTTTCTAAACCGTCTAAAGTTATTCCTGTAGTGTTCTCATGATTTCTTATAGCAATCGCTAGGATATTAACCGCAGTGACAAAAAGGTAAGGGGAAAGAGAACAGATTTGTATTGCAGCTGTACCGTGGGAGGGGGCTCCCAAACGGTTCATTATATTCATCCAAAGGGATTTGTTTGGAACGCTCCATTTTTATTTCCTCTCATAATATATGCCCCCAGTTTGATTTACCCACGGTAAAACACAATATAGAGAAAATCCGTCACAATCGAGCAAAGAGAAAGGAAGCTTTTAGGTTCCAGCTTTGAAAGTAAAAGTCTTGTTTCTCTTGAGTAATGAAAAAATTCTCATTATCTTTGAAAAAAATATTTATTTCAAGTACTTAAGGGTTTCAAAGCAGAGTGATGTATTGTTATTTCCCCCTCCTCAACACAAATATATTTATTCAATGATATTTTTATCTCTTGTAGCGTTTCCAACAAAGCCTTTTTGTACTCAAGCGAAGTCATAATAAAATCTTGGAGAATTTTCCCATGGTTTTTTTCGCTGAATGTGTTTGATGGGCCTCCATTAAGAAGTACATTGAGTGAACTGAGGGCATTTGTTAGCTTAAAAAAAACTTCAGTCTAGTAGATCAAGGCATAGCAACAAGAAATGAACAACATCACAGCACGGGAAAACCAAACAGCGGCCGGGCCGTTGTCGAGGACAAATGTGACAGCCATTGCAGAACTGGTACCAATTGCATCGGTAATTGTTATCATGAACACATTAGTTTTCGTCGTGTTTCTCAACTCGGAAAAACTACGAACACCAGCCAATATGATCCTCTTCAGTTTAGCGATCACAGACTTCTTAACTGGAGCACTGAATATTCCTATGTTAATCATGGTGGTTTTCACGCCTCTTATTGCATCAAACACTGTTCGCTTTCACCTTGGTTATCTGCTTCCGGTAATTCACACAGTTACTGCAATTCTTTCAGTTTATCACATAGTTTTTGCAACTTTGGAAAAGTACCTGTCAATCATCTGGCCAATAACTCATCGTCTAGTGAAAAAGCAAACAGTTATCAAAATTTTGATGATGGTGTGGTTGTTTGCATTCGTCATTGGGTTCATACCTTTTGCTTGGATAAACAAAATCTCTAGCCCACTGGGAATGAAGTATGTCATAGGCTACGTGGCTTGCTGTTTTGTAGTGGTGTTTTTAGTGCCATACATTATCATGGTGTATGCCTTTTTTAAAATGTTCAGAGCCATTGCAAGGGGAGCGGGACAAAATGGCACAAGCAGAACAAGAAAAAAGCTCAAAAGGAAAATAGCCCGGGAGAGGAAGTGTGCTACATTGTTTTTTGCCATGGCATTACTATTTGTAATATGCTGGTTTCCATGGTTTTTGTTGCAACTGCTCATCCCCCTGAATTTGAAATCTCTACGAGTTCCAGCTCACGTGTTCGCTATTGTGCGATATGTCACATCTTTCATAAACCCAATGCTATACAGCCTAATGAGACCGGATTTTAAACAAGCAGTGAAAAACTTAGTACGTAGAATGAGATTACCCCGCGTGTTGACGTTCAGATTTAGTTGTCTGGGAAAGGATAAGGGAAAGAAAAACCTCGATGGTGATGTTGATCCCGATTGTTCTTCACCATTTGAACAGCTCTATAATCTCTCAAACCAACCTGAAGGATCAATGAAGAACGAGGATCCGAGCACGGTAGAGATCCAACTTGGCGATTGATTTAGACTCAACCTTCTGATGTGATATCCAAAGGAAGTTACAGCGAAGGAAAACAACACAACCGTTGGGAGTAGTCAACATTTAGAGTGGTTCAACTCAATAGTAGCTCTGACGTCTCCAGTCTCGAAAAGACGTATGGTTTTCTGTGTATAGATACATGTTATTCTAACAATCAGGGTTGAAATAAACTAACAAAATGTCTAAAGTTTGCTTAAGTTTGTTTCATTATTTTCGAAACACCAACTTTTCGATGGATCTAAGATCTTGCAATAATAAGCATAAATTTCGCTGTGAATTTTGATGAATTTGTCATATATTTTTACCTAAGGTGCAAGTACCTTGGAGACGAGTTTAACTTCCGTTTCATATTATTTAATCATAATTAGCATATCAAGATGCATATATTTGAAAAGTTAAAAAAAAATTATCGTTGGCTCAGTAGCTTACTCTACAGTTTTTGTCCAAGTGCTACTACTGTAAAGAAATAAGAACTCCTTGCGTCCTCTCTTGATTTCGATGATAGCACGATGCCGGTTATTGCGACCCAATTTCAAACGTAAGTTGGTCTTCTCGTCAAGGCTTTTACCATTACTAAATAGTGATTAAGTCAAGTTGCATTGTGAAAGTCGATCGAGATGTAAGTTAACTTCATTTTCTGACTTTACTTACTTTATCAATTTTGCAAGATGTGTACCCAGATTATCCTTTTTATGCAGCCCGAGATTTTTGATCTTTAGGAAGTTATTTGCCCTACCAATAATATATAGATTTAGCCAAGCCTAAAGGCGGAGCTCGCATTTTTTTTCCCCCGCACGTCTCAAAGGCACAACGCCTTGCCCCGGCCAGGACTAGAACCTGGGTCGTCCGACTCGGAGCCCAGTGCACTGACCACTGGACTAAAGTCGTGAACAAAGCCGTGGCGTTGGCGTGCCCGCGGTACAGTTGACCACGCATGTTAAAAGCAGCACCTTGTACGGTCGTACGGTCGTACGGTCGTACGGTCGTACATCCAAATTGTTTCGGCTTGATGGGTTACTACTATTTTGTATAATTATGGGGCTACGCTCTGCGAGCTCCGCTATAAAATGATTGCCTCCCCTCTGCCTTCCTCAGAGGAGGATAATAAATTATTTCACCTTTAACTTAAAAGGGATTGCTGAATTTAACCAGAAGTGGGGTAGTATAACAAGATAATTTTGGCTTTACGAACTAAGTTGATTAAGAAAATCTGCCAAAGTAAAGAGTTTAGAATCTAAGAGTAAATCTAAGAGTTTAAAATCTGACGTTTCGAGTGTTAGCCCTTCGTCAGAGAGAAACAGGAAACGTCAGCTTTGAAACTCTTTACGGTGGCCAATTTTCATTATCAAGTTGGTCCATAAAGCCAAAGTCATCTTGTTATATAACCCCACCGACGCAGCACCACAGCTTCTTTAAAAACTTATCCTCTTTCATCATTACATCAGTTCGTAAGACGTTTATTTTAATTTCTGGAGACGTTTTATTTTCCCTTTTGCGAAATACAGGTGTCAGCGGTTCTCTGATTCAGCACGACTTTTTTGCAATAATAATGTGGCCAATCGAAAAAAAATCCTCAGGCTGCCTGTTCCATGAGAAACTAGTTTGAAGTTACATTGCTGTTCTGAACGACTTCTGGTTAAATTCAGCAATCCCATTTAAGTTAAAGGTGAAATAATTTATCATCCTACCTTAGGGAAGGCATCGACTCATTTGATCAAACCAAAACTATCTTGACGTTCTTCTGAACATCACCCTGATGGTTTCTCTGCTATCGACATCTTCTAACTGTCACATATTTGCAAACTACAAAAAAGTATTAGTGAGTTGTCATGGAAACATCCCCATTGACCGGACAGTGTAATAATTTACAAATGTTTTCTTTATAAATTTCAGGATATCCGCAAATATGAGACTTAAGATTGAGAGGTTTAGAAATTATACAGCTTCAATATTTTATACTTGGGGTTTCCGCTGATTCACTGTTGGACCTTTTACGACTCTCTTTTATCGTTTATCAATAACAATTCCGTTACAGAGGTGATTTTCTTTGTTTTGCAAACTAACTTAATAGCGAAAACGTGGTTTGCTATAGGTGCGCCGCTTTGTTATGATAATCGTGAAAAGATTCAACACGTAAAACTGCATTATCAAAATACGTTAGTGTAGTGCTCGGAACAACAAGTGTTTTACGTAAAACAGACATCTCGTGGATTATGATTTCTCGTGTCAAAGGTAAGAAACAACTTAAGCTTCCGAGTATAAAACTTGATAAAAATTATCAAAGCAAACGAAACATTCATTCTTAAACTTGCTCGAAAAGCGGAACGAGTCAACAGGCAAAACATAAATAGCGATTATAATAAGTTGTGTGTAGAAAAAGAAATTAAACGGCGAACTTCTGTATTCAAAATTTCTCAAATCAATAATGTAGAGTAGATAGATTATGATTGTAAGGAATTACTCTCCGCTCATTACAATCATAAACACCACCGACCACTCTTATCTGCCCCATTTGCCCAAGCATCTGTAACATATTTACGCTGTAGGATTTTTTAAGTGACCTTTTCATGATGTTACCATACAGAAGGAATATAGAAAAAATACTCCAAAAATTTCATAGAAGGACCAATTTCTGAAATGACATAACGTTTATTTCATCAAGATGCAGATTCCTGCAACTTCAAGTAGTATAAGTAATCACATGATTTCGAGTGCAAATTGGAATAAATGAGCGCAAGTCAATTTTTCGAAGACTAACAAAATTGCACGAGCCCGTAGGGCGAGTGCAATTTGTGGTCTTTGAAAAAATTTACAAGTGCTTATTTATTCCAAATTGCACGAGAAAGTCATGTGATTACGTATTAATAATATACGTGAAAAAATAAGAGATAGCGTATCATAAATATGCAGAAGCAAAGCGTGCGAATCAAATGCAAAAATAACTTATTCAAACCGCGCGTTCGGTCAAAACAACTGAGTACGATTAAAACAATAATGTACAAAGATATTTTCCCATGTTAAAGGGGCAAAAAAGTTCAAAGTCCGGCAAAACGTTTAAGGAATTATTCAGTCTGGTTTGTTGCTTCTTTGCACTGAATTAACCCTCTTCTGCACTGAATTCCCTGAAAACTGCATTTATCTTAACCAATCATAACTGAGTAAGTTTTCGTCTATCTTATGTACGAGAGAAGATAGAATCTCGAAAGAAATGACGTTTTAAGCTAAAACAAAAATTTGAACCGCAATCCGTCGACAAAACATTATATTGCTAATGAAAAATCTTTGTGTTAGTCCAAACAGAGAGTGTTCCTGTCGGCGAGTTGTTTTCCTCTTCCTTCTTCCCCTGTTAGAAGCAGTTGACTAAACAAATGGTGTCTCTCCATCGCCGCGGTAGCGTTGCATAATAGTTAATATCTTCGACAGAACTACAGAGTGCGAAATTTGGATTTGACTCTTCTCTATATCTCTTTCCCCTGCAATAACACTTCCAATATATAAAGTCGCAAAGTCAGATGTTAATTACCTAGACTGCAATTAAAATCACAAGGAACAGTTATTCTCGTATATTTCAAATACATATTTCCCTTGATCCTTCGCTTATGTATTTAAAATATGTCATACAATTAAATTTTAAATCTATAATTCTGAAATCGGGCAATCTTTGTGTAAAAACAAAGGTAGTTAGGTTGTAGTCGGAACTCAGAAAGGTTACGAGAGACTTAAGTGAACAATTTGATGTGGGGGATCAACTTTCTTTCACTCAAATTACTTTGAATTTCCTATGAGTGCAACCAGGACTTTTTCAAAAACAGCTTTGAGTCAAATGAGGGAGAAAGGTGCTTAGTCTAAATCGGAAATGAGATAGAGGGAAGAAAGTTTCAAGTACTTTTTCTTCGCTTTTTATTTATCATTCACTAAGCAAGCAACTGCAGGTATTTTAAATGCATTATTATTACAACGTAATACAACGCACATCTTTAAGAATATGGCTAAAGATGTCAGAGTCTTGTCAACACAATTAAAGACGAACCACCAAGATAAATATAAAAACAAGAAAACAATTACAAAACTGCACAACCGAAAAAAAGCCTTCATGATATATTCCCTATTGCTAGGAAACTAAAATCGTTGTTTGTTAGCAACAAGCAACTGTCACATATAAAAATGAAGGAAAAAGACGAGAAAGGCACACTCTTGCGCTGGCTTTTTCCGCTGGAATTGTTTCCTTTCGACAGAAATGATCGTTGGGCCTATATCGAAATAAATCAACTGGGTATAAAAAATAATTGCGAGAAATCTAGACTACAACGGAATCCTTTTTTTTGAAATAGCACTGATATTTTTTTTATTAATTTTAACTGTTCTTGGAGATTGGGATAACAGTCGGAACATGCGGGTAACCTTTCATTCAAAATCCCCTGCACCCCGCATTAAGCATCTATTTCTTTCCCTCGCAAATTTAAATTCCCTTTTTTATGTAATTTTTTCTCTGAAATATATTAAGGATATGTAAAAAGAAGCCAATTCCATAAATGCTGGTGAGATTCTTGTGAGGAAATGCATTTTCTCGTCATTCCTATTCAGTTAATCGGCGATAAATGATAAACTGAACGATATTTAGATAATACAACCAGAGATAAGTTTGAAACAACCTGCTCCTAAACTCAATTCGGGAAAGTGACATCTCCAACTCTGACCCAAGAAGTTATCTCAAAAATCATGTTGTATAAGTAAATAGCACTCGTCTATTGTGTGATGAGAATCTTAAGTAGTTCCAAAACATAATTTTCAACGGCAAGCCCTGTGAAGATCATCACTTTTTCGGTACCATATGTTTTTTCTAGGAACATTTTACGTCGTTGTTCCTAGCAGGATGGTCTGGAGTGAGTAGAACTGTGGATGTTCTGGAAAGGCCATCTTGAATTGAAACAAGACCGTAGAAATTTTGAAGGCAGATCGTTAAGAGAGATGGATAGTTTTAGCTCTTCATTTGAGGATAAGATTATCCATCCCAACATAATCATTTTTAGTTTTAGGAGAAGTGCACGAAAAATCCTTTTTTATAAATAGAATGATTGATGACATGATCAGAAGACTTGCAATGAGAACGATTACCATGTCTAAATGTACATTTAAATGCAAATGACTTTAAAAAGGGGACGAAGCAAATAACAAGAAGATTAAAAACT